ACAGTCGCTCTCCATTCAAGTCCGGATGTGCCGTCCGTAGCTACAGGCATAGTGAAGGTATTTTGCCACCGCACGGCATGTTTTAGCAACAGAGGAGCGGAAAACGTCAGGTTGCAGTCAAAGCACATGCTTTTTTACTGAGTGATGCCTGTGAGCACGCGCTCACTGCAAAACCTGCTCTCCTCTCGGAGCTCTTCGATTCGCCGCGAGTCCGCTCGCGTGTATGCGTGCCTAACGAAGTTCTACGTTATTAGTTAGCAGTGCCTTATTGAATTGGGAGGTCCCTTTCGCGTGAGCAGTCTCCCGTTTACGTTGGAGGCACTCCACGAATCTCCGTCTGCTCCTCCACAAATGGTTTTTGCGGGCCTCTGGCAATGAAGACGTTAGCGTCATGCCAACATTATTCTCACACGTCTGTTCAAAATCAGGGACGTGCACACAACTCAGGCCTATCAAAAGACTTACAGGGCAATGTTCTTCAGTCACCGGTTTATGTCTCCAGTCTCCTTCATGTGTAAGGTAAGGGATGTCTATCAATTACATCATGTCTTTTTGGTCATGTTTCGACCCTCCCTCTTCCGTTGGTTGCGCGCTGCTTATGCCGAGCACCCCTCCCCCTGGTTACACTGTGTTAAGCGTTACAGCCCAAAAAGTAATGTCCACACGACTGCTGGTTTAGCTGGAAATTCGACACAAATCAACGAGCGTCCTTCTCGTCATAAGAAGAAGTCAGTGATATCCGGTTTTTTGGGTCTTCATTTGTTTTCAAGATTTGGCTTAATTTGCAGCCACATCTAAGCGTAACGTTCCACAGCCCAAAACCTCCCCTTCCCACCTTGTTACGCTTCCATTACGCCCCACCAATACCCCCCCCCCCGCCGTGACCTGCGCTGCATAATGTCCATCTGTCATCACGGCGCCCCTCGGCCCATACAACTGCACGTGTCGAGGAATGTGATCGCAATGGATTGGTGATTTCTTGCGACAACGTTGTTCTCGGGACCAAGGAGTGAGGCTTGCGACAGAATCCAAATGAGTCAAGTGCTTGAAAGTGGTCACCAGTAACTAACCTCTGCACTTAGACCCAATGCCGGTACATGTAGTCAAGCATCGCGCAAAGCAAGTCATGTTCACGTGCAAAGCAAATCATGCTCTTCGTACATTGTTTGTGCAATGTACGAAGACGCTAGGCTCTGTATCTGGAAAGCATCGCTGTTAGCAAACGTGCACTCAGTCTGTCTCTTCATGTCGATATCCGCGTTTTGCGCAAGTTCTCACGCGCGCATAAGTTAAAAACAAACACGTGGCGACACAAATGATGCCCGGAAACGAACGCGCTACGCAGCGCTGTACGGATCTGCGCGTACACACGAAACCGAGAGGCGGCGACTTGCGTGTTGAGTTGACCTTTATTTAGAGCTCACATTGTAGTCGTGTTTTTTTGCATGTATGGTGGTCTAGACGAGCTAACACTTCGTATCGTAACACATACGCCCCATCTGGAAGTCAATCGTTTAAGTTCACAGTCGACTATATCACGTTCGGGTCAGAAACATACACATCTAAGGTTCGCAGCTGCGTGACATATTGCGTAGGAACGGAGCTCCAGATGTCAACAGTACGGGCAAAATGGAATGTTGCAATCGTTTCCAAAGGCTACTGCTCAAGCTCTGGCGGCTGCACGCAGGAGCAGTTGCTTGTTGACGCGCCGGTGCCCCACACAATGCAGGGCACTGCGTCCAGGTCCTAAGGTCCCGGTGACCCAGAGACTAAACCTGCCAGACTCTCTCAAATTCACGGGGAGCAAACAATAGCACAGCATATTCCACGAAATCTAAAACATCACTACAATTACTAGCCTACATTCGGCAGCGATCATCTCGAGCGCGGTCGACATTGGTCACACGTATGTCTGCTACACACTGCAGTGTATAGCTGGAACAAATCACTAACCACATATTCTTTAATAAAATCAACACCAACAAGACACCTTAGAACTGTAACTCGTCACTGCCTTGCCACATTTGTGGTGAACCTAGCAGAATCACATAACATCACACAATTTAAGGCAAACACGCAGCTGAATCTGAGACGCCTCAGAGTACACTGCGCCTTCCAAACAGCTGGTGTCATGACTGCGTCCGAACGATTCGTCCACCACTGTGGAAACACGCTGCCCCCGACGAGAGCAGCTGTGGGCGGCCACAGGACGGTGGTCGATCCACCGCGAATATGAATACACACAGAGACTCGCACACATCCGCATGCAAATGCCTGCAATGCCCTTGCCATTGCCGCTCGCATGTTAGTAACGACGTGCAGCCACTGCTGTCTGAGCAATCAGTTGACGTCGTGACCTCTGCTTTCAATGGGGACAATGTCCAGACCTCCCTGGAGGGCATCTGCTCAGCTCAGAATAAGCCAACCGGTCTGGATATTCTGCCCGCCTTGTGACTCCTTTCTGGGGGTCTTCCCGCAAGTAAACTCCCCAGGGACTCTTGGTCAATTCCAACACCCTCACTGAATCGCTGTTCGCGAGCCCTCCTGGATACCCAGTCCGTCTCGTGACTTCCCCAACCCGTCCTGCGCCCGATCCATTCGTCATCACTCCTAGGACACACAGTCGACCTTGCGATCTCTCTTTGGACACTTGTCCCGTTTCGTAGTGCGTCTTTGAACACCTGGTCCTTCTCGTGACCTGTCCTGGACGTCCGCTCCACTCGTGACCCCTCCCGGGCCGCACGGTCCACTCCTGGCCACTCTCAGGCTGCCTGGTCCGTTCGTGACTCGTCCCTGAACACGCGGCCCGCCTCATGACCGCCGCCAGGCCGGCTGTTCAGTGCCGCGACCGGCGGCGCCGCGGCTCGAAGCCGGCGTTCTCGTAGCCGGCCTCCTCGCTGACGGTGAGCAGGCGGCCGGCGTCCAGCGACAGCGCCGGGTCTGCCTGCCCCGAGCCCGAAGGCGCCTCGCGACCGCGCGGTCCCGGCCCCGCCGGCGGCACCATGCTCGGCCGCCCCGACGAGCCCTGCCACAGGCGGCCGGCGGTTACTGACCACGCGGAACAGAGCGTCTTCATTAGATTATACGTCAGTGTGCTGGTTTGGGTAAAGTCCGGTCCGGTCCGGTCCGGTCCGGTCCGGTCCGGTCCGGTCCGGTCCGGTCCTGTCCGGTCCGGTCCGGTCCGGTCTGGTCTGGTCTGGTCCGGTGTGGGGTAGTGCGGTGTGATGCGGTGTGGTGTGGTGTTGTGTGGTGTGGTGGGATCCGGTCTGGCCCGGTCGGGTCTGACCTGGCCTGGTTGGCCTGGTCTGGCCTGGTCTGGCCTGGTCTGGTCTGGTCTGGTCTAGTCCGGTCTGGTCTGATCTGATCTGATCTGATCTGATCTGATCTGATCTGGTCTGGTCTGGTCTGGTCTGGTCTGGTCCGGTCCGGTCTGGTCTGGTCTGGCTCGGCTTTAGTTTGGAAATCGGGCCAGTTCACGGACTTTCTCTCTGAGATCCGCTCCCGCGTCACGCCACCTGTCTCGACTTCAGACTGGTGTTGTTACAAAGGATATTCTTTTCGCTCATTATCGTGCTCCGATCAGGACACCAATCGGTGAAGTCGTCAAAGTCTGGTTATCGGGGCAACGCAGAAGACAACGCAGTTGATCAACAACATCCGACAGAGTCCACACGCATCCAGCACACACAACGGCTGACGGTACTCATGAGCAAAGGTGCGGGGACGGGAGAGGGGCGCGGGGAAGCGGCACCCCTTCTAAACTTTCGGAAAATGTGACTTATCAAGGCCGGTAACTCTTTCAAAACGCTGACGGAGACGAATCTTTTTAGAAAAACGGTTCCTCCCAACACTTGAAGGAAAATTATCATTAACACTACATCGCTGCATCGCACAAATCCAAGTGCATTTTCACGTTTGTGAGTACTTTGACCCCTGCCGTCGATAATACCCACCATCTGTCCAGGGTCTACAGAGCCATTGGAGCCAAGCCGGGACAGGCTGGTCTCCAGACTCCCGCTTCAGTAGCGCTGCCTGGACCATAATCGACTTGCGGCGCGCGCCGGGCCCGGCGCCCTCCACAGAGCTGCTTGACGACGAGATTGGTGCTCTCATAGCCGCTGTCTGAGGAGGCTGGACACTCCTTGATGACCACCTTCTTGGACAGCGAGTTCAGCTGCTTTGCATCATCTGTGGCGGACAATCAAGCCCAGTTAGCGCCTGCAGTTTACTGTCATCAGAACCGCAGCTGATATTTGGAGGGTAGAAATGTCTAAACAAACACATTAAATACCATAAACTATAAAATATACACCGATGATGGGTTTATCTTCTTAATATCTCCGCCTAAAAGTATCAGTGGCGCATATTCCAAAAACGGTTTTCTCTACTGAGACCGCGCTCTCCAAACGTCCATCCCTGCTGAGCGGCCAAATGAGCTGCTGCTGACTGTGGCATACACTCGTCAGCCGGCTGGGCTTAAACACCTCGGGAGACAACTGACATTTGCGCCACAGGGCCCTGCGCAGCCCCTCCTCTGGCTGGTCGTAAGACAGAATGGTAGACAGCTGACCAGTCTGCGCTGCCGGCCCTGCGCTGCTCCCCCTGCTGGTTGAGCATGAGACAGAGTGGGAGACAAATGACTAGTTTACGCCGCAGGGCCCTGCGCTGCTCCTCCTGCCGCCTGAGCACGAGACAGAGTGGGAGACAAATGACCAGCTTGCGCCGCAGGGCCCTGCACTGCTCCTCCTGCTGGCTGAGCATGAGACAGAGTGGGAGACAAATGACCAGTTTGCGCCGCCGGGCCCTGCGCTGCTCCTCCTGCTGGCTGAGCACGAGACAGAGTGGGAGACAACTGACCAGTCTGCGCTGCCGGCCCTGAGCTGCTCCCCCTGCTGGCTGAGCATGAGACAGAGTGGGAGACAACTGACCAGTTTGCGCCGCAGGGCCCTGCGCAGCTCCTCCTGCCGGCCGAGCACGAGACAGAGTGGGAGACAACTGACCAGTTTGCGCCGCAGGGCCCTGCGCAGCTCCTCCTGCTGGCGCAGTACATCGGACGCCTCGGCGCCCTTGGCGTTCGGCTGCAGGTAGTAGCCGTGCGGTATGCCGCCGTACAGCTCCGGCTTGAGGATCGAGTCGACGTGCACCATGAGGATGGGCTCGGGCGCCACGAACGTCACGCCGTACGTCTCCCAGCGGTGTTGCTCCTTCACCGGCCCCCAGCTGACGTCCGGCCGCCAGAGCGAGGTCTGCCAACAGCGGCGCGGCCGTCACCAAGGAGGCGGGTCTGCGACTGATGCTGCTCACCGAGGGGCTGTGCTGGGCAGCCAGCGATAGCTGGTGCAGCTGGCAGGCGGTCCACAGCAGTCAGAGGCCTGTATCTCTAGAGAGCGTCCGAGTAATTGAAGAACACTACCCGAATGTGAGACAGTGGGAGCTGTTGCCGACTGACAACACGCCCTGGAACTGGCGGCATAAGGTATCACGCCGAAACTGACAGCCGCAGTGAGCTCACCGTTTTGCCCCAGCCATCCGTACTTCACGTTGTCAAGACCTAGACGGCAAAACCCGGTTCCAAACGAACGAGCAGCATCGACCATTTCGCACAGCGACATCTGCCACCAGCCCTCCGTGCGCGCCCAGTGAGTTTCACCGCTCTCTCCACTCGTGGGCGGGGAGGGAGGGGGGACGTCATCGACAGGCTCCAGTGCCTCACCTGGCCCCCCTTCAGCGGCCGCAGTGCGTCACGCGTGAAGAGCAGCAGCGCCACAAGCAGCGGCGCCATGCCCACCAGTCCGGCGGCCACGTTCACCCAGACCGGCAGCCGCTCGTTCCCGTACTGGGGCACCGAGTACCGGATCAGGCCGAACAGCAGCAGCGCCTGCCGGTGGTGAACAGGGCTCAGGCGACAGACGACAGGTATACGAGAGCGCCGCTTCGGCTCTGTGTCGCGGCTTTGTTTTATCGTATTTTCAAAGGTGAGAAATCATTGTGACGGGTGATCAGGTCAATAGCCTTAATTCAACTTCCCACTATTGCCTACTTATAACCTGCTGCAACTTTCAGAAGCTATTGGATTATGACACCCATGGAAGGGATTTAAGGAATGACAAAAAAGAGCCCCGTTGCCGCGGTAAAGGGCTCTATTTGTTATATGCTACACATTTGTACGGGGTTTTTAGCTGAAATAGCCATCTTTCAGATCATTCTGTACAATTCACACCCTTGTCCTTCTTAAGACCTAAATTTTCGAGCTTCCGAGCTACACGCTCGCGAAGATACGCAGACTTTTCAGGGAAACTATTTCAGGTCGCCCAGGCATCTATGACGCCATCTTAACATCATTCAAACCCTCCCATTCCATTAGCTATGCAGCGATCAATGCCGAGAAAATATAATTGTCGAGTCGTTCATATCTGACATTCCCGAACATGACTTCCAGATGTAACGGCCGTCAAGCGGCTCTCAGTCAATGTCGTGCAATGCACGATGACGTAATCAAACAATGACGTATTGAGGAGCACATTTCTTTAACATAGAAACTAGTGCTGTCAAGAGCAGTCGTTTCCACTTAAAAGTATACCAATACTTCTAAGTGAGCTTATTTCATCATATAACTATTTGATCAAATGTACCCACACGGAGCGGAATCTACTCTACAAAAATGTATATTTTCTGAACGGATGATATCTTTCTATGGGCGCGCTCATGCTATGGAAATACAATGTATTTTACGCGCCGCCATGCACTTGCCAGTAGCATGTTGAGAACACTGACCATGTGAACGAAAGGCACGGAGAACTTCCAGGCGGTGGTCCACCAGCGCGACGGGTGAAAGCCGAGCATGACTTCCACGTTGGCGGCCCACTTGTCGACGCCGTACACCCAGCAGAGAGCGATGCTCTCCACGGCGCCCACCAGCAGCGGCCCCCAGGTCAGCAGGTGCCGGTCCAGCGCGCACACCAGGTACAGCCCGTGCTGGGAGCAACGGAGAGCGGTGGTCGAGGTGCGCGACAGCGTATCTTTCAAGTGAAGACTCAGGGCGCCAGAGTCACGCAGGCGGGGCTGGGAAAAAACGCGGGCTGATGTCCGAGCCATGGGATCGTGGCACGGGACGAGGATCTCCCTGACACCGGTCGTTGGCACGTTTGTCATTGGGGACTTTACGACGCACTCAGCCTATGGCGTCGCCTGCCTGTCATCCTGCCAGGAACCGCGGGGAGTCGAACCCCCTACCTCCCAGACGCGCAGCTTCCCCACGGGCGCCCCGCGTTGTTGCGTATAGAGGGCACCGTCGGACGGCGCGGAGTGCGCAGTCGGATAACGCAGAGGGCGCCATCGTACAGACCTCCCCAGTGCGGCTTAAAGTCATAAAGTGAGCCGCAGTTTAAGCAAAGCGCTGGCGGTCGCGTCATCCGATCAGTTGTCGGACTTCCACCCGAGTGGTTCGCCTCCAATACCCGACCGGACAGGGGCACTCACCGAGCCAACCAGCGCCAGGCCGGAGGCCAGCATCAGCAGGCAGGCGATGAAGACCACCTGCAGACGCTTGCGCCGCCACTGGTCGAAGCGCACCTCGAGCGGCGCGCGCAGCACGGGCTCCACCCAGAAGCAGAGGTACCGATGTCCGACGACGGCCAGCAGCAGGAAGAACAGCGCCGACCAGACGGGCGGTCCGGGCAGCAGCAGCATCGCCTGACTGCTGACCACCAGCAGCAGCTCCGGACCTGCGCACAGGCGGCGTCGGCCGCGGAAGGGGATGAACTCATGGGCGGCGCCAACGACAGAAGAGAGCGAATATGATTACGTGCAGCAACAGCGGCAGAGGAGAGGGGATCGGATTATGGGCGGTGGCAGGAAGAGAAGGGCGGGGGATTAGACCATGGGCAGTGTCAGGAAGAGAAGGTCAGGGGATCAGACCATGGGCGGCGTCAGGAAGAGAAGGGCGGGGGATCGGAACCCGGGCGGCGTCGATGGAAGGAAGGAAATGACGTCATAGACAGTAAGGACGAAACCGCATCATAGACGGCGTCGGCTAGATGGAGGGGGCAGTGGCACGGAACCTGCGCAAAGGCGGTGTGGGCCGGGGCATGGAGGAGCAGAGCGGCACGGGTCCTGGACAGAGGCAGCGTCAGCGAGAGGTTGAAGGGAACGCGCCGGCCAGAGCCCTGGGCATGGATGGCGACAGCGATTGGATAGATCACAGGTTGGATCGGGCCACGGGCGCGGTAGAGTCAGCGTAGCCTAGTACAAAATCACCGGTCACCCCACCACATCACGCACACGTCAGTAAGTGATATGAGAGAGAGAGAGAGAGAGAGAGAGAGAGAGAGAGAGAGAGAGAGAGAGAGAGAGATAGAGAGAGAAGAGAGAGAGAGAGAGAGAGAGAGAGAGAGAAGAGAGAGAGAGAGAGAGAGAAGAGAGAGAGAGAGAGAGAGAGAGAGAGAGAGAGAGAGAGAGAGAGAGAGAGAGAGAGAGAGAGAGAGAGAGAGAGAGAGGAGAGAGAGAGAGAGAGCGAGAGAGAAGAGAGAAGAGAGAGAAGCGAGAGAGAGAGAGAGAGAGAGAGAGAGAGAGAGGAGAGAGAGAGAGAGAGAGAGAGAGAGAGGCTAGAGGGAGAGAGGAGATGAGGAGAGAGGAGGAGAGAGAGAGAGAGAGAGAGAGAGATATATATATATATATATATATATATATATATATATATATATATATATACAGGCGACAGTAAGTGATTATTTGTCGCGAGATTCGCTTAAGATCGCCATGTATAACACATATTCTTAGTCTTGGGGTAATCTCTTGACAACTGTTAAGATGATGATAATTCAATGACGAACTGACCAACAACTGATGCCAGATGAAGACCACACCATCCCCGAACCAATGGGCCCGCAACAGACAGCAGACAGCACCCGCCCTCACCGTGTTTGACGACTTCGTCCACGCCGAGGCCGATCCTTTTGGAGATGAAGCCGAGCGTGATGAAGGTGGCGAGCGTGACGACCAGTGCGGCGACCATCTTCAGGCCGAACAGGAGCAGCACGTCGCGGCGCATGTTGTGGCGGAAGCGGTGACGGCTGCCGTAGCAGATGACGCTGCCGGTGCACACGCCGTACGACAGCACCAACTGGCCGAACGCGTCCAGCCAGATCTGCGGTAACAGCCACCGGCGTCAGGCCAGGTTAGAGCAATATCGTGTCCGTGTCTGTTTATCTCTCTATACCACACAGGTCTTACAATAAGAGCCACTGTCGGCTTCCGGCCTTCAACTCAGGATGTTACATTACCTTTAGTTGTGCTGACACCGTCTTAAGCTCAGGGCCGTCTGTACGGCGGGAAAGGGCGGTCGAGGAATCGTTGTGCGGATTTACAGCCTGGCAGCTCGAGTAAACAGGCAGTTGGTGGCGGACGTCCGTAGCGCACGCGAGCATAACTATGACGCCGCAGCTACCCTCTAAGCGCAGAGCATTTTGGCATAGAATGAACCTGGCGACAAACTATCTTACTCGCATGAGATACCAAAGAAGAAAGTCACTGTACATGTAGGCAAGCAATTAGATTCTAGTCACGTCTCATATTTCACATTGTACGCACCAGCCAAATAAACATATCTGACCTCTGAGCTGCCGACGTTGGTCCACGGTATACGGAACAGGTATGAAAGTCCAATAAATGCTCCTGATCCATCGTCTATCGCCAGTACTGCGATGATGATTAACACAACAAAGAAGCACATCAGAAGGCCGGACACGGCGTTTATAACCTGAGAAAAACAAAACACCCGGTATTAGCGATGTTGCCAGTCGATTAAAGAAGCTCGATACTCTTGCTGCTCATGGATGAGCGTGGCAACCAAATGGATCGTTGGCAGCGTGGCCAGGATCGTTGGCGACGAACACCACGAGAATACAAGCGTTGTCTGATATATACGCAGAGCTCGCTGTAAACGTTAGCCTTTTCCAGCACCAAGGCTTGGTTTATCGGGAGTTAACAAAATGCACAGTGCGCTTGTTCCACTATTTGCATTAAGTCACTCCTCGTTAAGTGCGGCCTCGTGACTGAAAGGCTGTGGAACAGCTTTTGTGGTTGTGCCAGTCGATTGTAGCATTAAAGAAAACGATGTGTAAAAATTCGCTCAAGGGGTTGGCTGTATCAGTCGGTAAGAGTCAGCAAGGCACTTACAATTCAATATAGCGTACTACATTGTCACGGCGAACTTCATCAGTTAACATCTTTAACAGAAGCGCGCGGCCTCTGAAATACCTACTTTAGACTTGTAGTTGATTTTCCTGGTGAAGGTGAAGCTGATGAAGCACCAGATGACGAAAAGGCAAAGGATGAGCCTCCAGTTCTTGTAGCGGATGTCGCCGTCCGGGCAAGCCGTGTCGGATACCTCGTACCTGCAATCGAGACAGGACCTTGTCTGCTTTCCGCCTAATGTCCGCAGGATTCTACAGGTCGTCCCTCTGCGTATAGCTGCTCTCGCGAACCAAGCCAGCTGCTGTCCGAGCTCACGCCGGAGAGACTCTGTGCCAGTTGTGACAGCCGCAGGAAACGGAATGCTCGGCGCCATGACAACGCCGAGCCCTGAGCTTGGTTCAAATTTCACACTGGCTTAAATACAGCGTGGGAAAGACTAGTTTTTGAAATATTTTACCCCGCATTGTTTAGGAGGGGTTTCCTGCGCTTCTGCCATTTTTCAACAGCATGTAAGTATCAAAAGTTTAATGTTATCCACGGCATAAATCCGATTTGCATTGGTTTAGTTTTCCTGTTTTGTTGAGATTTTCTTATCATTGCGTCAGTTTTGCCAGAATCCAATTATTACTGCGCCAATAATCTGAAACACCAGCCTGGGTAGAAGCGACCTCCAGGTTGCAATCTCTATGAAAGTTGAACGACAAAAATGTCCTCTGACACGGACTGAAGGTCATATAACTATGTTTCTCGATTGTCTCGCATTCGCCGGAATACCAGCGCGCCTCAACAATTCATAGGGCCTACAGATCCTGCACACCTCCTCTGATCGACTGCTCGAGTTCAGAGTGACCTGAGCGATCAGTGCGACCTAAATACCTCTGACCGATCAGCTAAGCGACCGATCCGTAGTGATTTTCGTCGTGGTGCCCGACGCTCGAGTGGTTATCGTTCCTGAAGTGTTCGCCAGCGTAACATGTTGACACTTGCTGGCTTAGATCTCAAGACACTCCGGTCGTTGATCCCGTGTGATTGCAAGATGATTGGCTACGGACACACTATCGGCAGGAGTGTGCGCGGATGCACACATCTAATCAGCTGCATGCCTGACCCCGTGCCAGCGTATGTGTACTCAACACTTGCCGAGCCGTCGGTCAAATAAATCGTCAGTTCGCCGCGACAAAAGTCCGTTCACTATCTGCTGTGGCAAGTCGCAAAGTTTTCCTGCCTGTCTCTGTTCAGGAGCAGAGTGCCGTGCTGTTCTGCCGCCAGCCAGGACCAGAGCCAGTGCAGCACGAGGCCGTCTACGTTAACTGCACATTCGGTAAAGCGATGAGCGTATCCGCAGACAAGCCCGGGCCAGTTCTGCTGCTGGAACCCAACACAAGAGAAGCCAGCTTCGGCGCGACGGTCAGCTTCAGCGATCGTCCTGCTAGGGCTGCTGGGGCTGCAGATAAGCAGACTGATCCGTGGTCAGCTTCAGCGATCGTCCAGCTAAGGCTACTGAGTTTGCAGGTACGCAGACTGATCCGCGGTCAGCTTCAGCGATCGTCCAGCTAAGGCTGCTGGGGCTGCAGATAAGCAGACTGATCCGTGGTCAGCTTCAGCGATCGTCCAGCTAGGGCTACTGGGGCTGCAGATAAGCAGACTGACCCGCGGTCAGCTTCTCTCCAGACTGAGGAAACGGCCTGGCTCAGGCGCGCAGCACGACATCGTAATCATTTTCTCATTTGTAGTGCAGTGCGGTGTGTGGCACACACACCAGGCATGAGTCAGCGAGAATGACAGAATAAACAGTGCCCAATACGGTGGGCAGCGTGCATTATGCAAATATATATAAGACGCAGGGTGCAGGAGGACACTTAATGTTAATAGATGCTTACCAGAAGAAGGCTTCCGTTGATATGTGTGACCTGGTGTCGTTGTAGACTTCTTGTGGGCCTGCGATGATGCCGACATGATCGGGTTCTGCCAGTGAGGCATTCTCCGAAACATTTACTATATCAGTAGCGTTGCCGTCCACGTAGTAAACGATTTTGTCTGGAAAACAGGCGTGACAGGTTGGGCGACGTAGTAGGTCAAACAGGGCCTAGCGGGCTCGATTGACACTGTTTGTCAGGCTGACCACAGCCCACACATTCGCCACGAGATGAAGCTTCAGGTACCCAATGACTGCACCGGCTCACAGATAGGCAAGATTGACCCAGTTTTACCGCGCACCTAACAGTAATGAAGCCAACTCTTCCCAAACACTCCCCAAGCCGAGTCAGCGTGAATCTTAATAGTGTCAGAGACGCGATCATACATTTAAAATGCAAACACCTTATGATACTATCGGGATAGAGTAATTGTGACTTCCCGGACCTCAACGTCTCCTTCCGCTTCCTGGGTCTTGAAGCTTATTTTGTAAATCTCTTCACTTCTGTTGTTGAATTGCGACGTTCTTTTGAAAGATTCGCCTATGGAGCCGACAAACTTAAAGACACGACCTCGCGCCGCCAGCTTCGCATCCAATCGTATTTTCTGAATCGTGTCCTCATCAATTAAGGCTCTGTAATCGTGTGTGTTCTATGTCGAATGCATTCCTTGCTATCGAGCAAGCTATCCTCTGATTAAGATTTATGATGATATTTTCTCCATATGTGGCGAAGACGGGCATTTCTGGAAATTGGCGTCTCCCCGCACACCTGGCTTCCTGCCAGTTACTCTCATTGACGACGTGCTGGCGAGGACGTGCGAAACGGCTTTAAACGGCGGTATGTGAGTGGCGATAACGGTAAAGGTCATCTGAATGTAATCTTTTGGCTCTCTTGGCTGTCGGCATTTGGTAAACGGATAAGAGGACGATGCATTACATCAGCCCGTAGGAAGCTTGGACAGCTACGTGGACAGAGCTTTTTACAGAGCGTGGATAGTTGTGAGGAGCGTGAACAGGCGCGTATTGTTAAGTTCAAACTGCTGTGTGGGTGACAGCGAGACGCATGTGGGTCCCGTCGTAGCTGACAATCTGGTGTCAGCTAGTAACACTCAGAATTTCAGGCAAAATGGTAACGCCCGATAAAAACGGAAAATGGTGCCAGATTAGATTGACATTTTTGAACGTGTATCTACTGACATAAGTACCTGAATTAGTCCAGCATCAACGTGAGTGATGATAGTAGTAACATGCTGGCGATAAAGTATAGTAACAATGTTCAGCTCGTGCATGCAGTGTGAGTCAGCGCAGTGAACCAGTGTAATGTCAACCAGTATAGTCGTAGCGTTAATCATGATAGTGGTACCAATGATATCAGTATAGTCATGATATGATCCACGATGACCTACACGTTGAGAAGACGATGAGTTAGATCCGACCTGCCCACTTCACATGGCGCACATATTTTAGTTACACAAAAACAACAATAAAAGACTGACAGTTAGATATCGTAGACTGGAAGGTTTTTTCAAGCTGTACAATGCAGTCTGAAACGTTTGCTACGAATGTTCCATGCGTCCCGCAAACCTACCTCTGTACACCTCGGTGCAATTTGTAATATTCCATTCCATTTTGCATCTTTGCCAAGGTACTTCTTTGTTCATCGAGGAGAAGAGGTACAGCAAAGACCAGGCAACGACGACGCTGCCGTAGACGGCGATCAGAGCCGACAGCAGCACCATGGCGTAGCCGAAGCCTGCCGAACCCCGTGCCAACATCTCACAAACGAGTCAAACAACAACAGAGCCAACAATAGCGCTATGGCGTAGCCGAAGCTTGCCGACCACTCGATGCCAACATCTCACAAACATACCAAACGGCGATCAGAGCTGACAGTAGTAGCCGAAGCCTGCCGACCAGCCGGTGCCAACATCTCACAAACATGTCTGCTGACCACCCGGTGCCAACATCTCACAAGCATGTCTGCACAAGCACGGGGCTCTGGTTCGACACGGTGGCAGAATCCGATGGGAGCTATTGTGTAACGATAAGGCAGCGATGCGAATTGCGCAGCTTTCCCGATATCAGTTTATGGCAAACTTTATCGAACTGTACTTTGGAGTGCTAGTGGGTGTCAGCTGTGTGAATTCTGTCGCGCACTTTGGGACGAAAAATTCTTCTTGTTCACTTCTGGTAGGGCGCAGGGCTTAAGGCTTATGTGAATGCCGTGTGAGTGTTTGGATGATCTTGTAACAGCAAAGATTATCCAAGTTCAGGGATTTGTAAAAAGATGCGGAAGAGTCCTTTGCATTGGGCACGTGTCGGAGAGGGCTGTTAAAGAGGAGGTGTTAGGTTTATGTAAGGTAATGTTGTCCTCCTTCCGACGCGCACTACTCAGCGCGTGTCGGAGGTCGCACTAGAAGGGTGAGTGGAACGGTGTCAGAAGACGGAAAGTGCCTTCATCACATGAACGCATCATCTTGCGCTGTATCACCATGGAATCGGCGATGGCGACCCAGCGCAGCGCTTAGGTGCTAATGATGCACCAGATGTGCGCAGTGGACTAGGTCGGTAGTAGCTCATACGGGCGCATTGTGAGAGCATCCACATATCTTTTAGTGCGTGAATGAGTGAAGGGACGGTGGGGGATGGCACGGTAACATGTGAGAGTTTTGTAAGAAGTTGAAAACATGCGATTTAATTAAACTGGTCGTGGTTTGCGCTTGGCAGTGGCCAGTGAAATTGGAGGAGAGATTAATGAGCAGTTACTTGTTGGAAAAACAATATCGGTTTAGCATCTCGATGGCAAAACATCTCCGTAGTACATGTTGGCAACCGTTAAAATCTTCCAAGCGAATAAAGGGCCACTATGGCATCATCTCACCGGCAAATACAGAGGTGAACTTTCCAGCGAACATGGACGACTATAGGAATATCTCACCGGCAACTATGGGGGCGAACTTCCCAGCGAATATGGATGACTATGGGAATATCTCACCGGCAAATATGGGTGCGAACTTCCACACCTGGATGGCACTGCGACTGGAGAACTGGCCGATGGCAAACTCCATGTAGAAGAGTGGCAAGCCGACCAGCAGCGTCAGCAGCAGATATACGCAGAGGAAGCTAACTGCCAAGGGGGGAGGGCAACAGTATGTTATAGTGTACAAGTGTCACGATTTGTCGTCACGAGCGCTTCAGGGGGGGGGGGGGGGGAGCTGAAAAGGCTAATTGAAAAAAATTGTGGCATTCATCATCATCCAGCAGTATCCAGGATACACAAGCACAAGCTATAAAATTACTTAGCGATGGATGTCTCTGGACCTGGGGTCCAGCGAATACAATAAAGGCGAATAATATGCAATAAAGGCGAATACCTTAACGCGAAGAGTCATTATATGCGTACAAAATAACAAAACATTGTCGTCATATTCCCATCTAATTATCGGTTAAGGAGCGTGGTCAAAGTCCTTCACCAAATGTTGCAACGAAGACTTCAGAGGACGCGTTTACAACGTCGCACCTAAATGCACCGCGGAGAAGACGGCATTCAAGTGGGATGGCTATGCGTTGCTATCCTTAGGCTAGCTTACGCATTCGCAGATGACACCCAATTTTTTTTGGCCACGCCAGTTTAGATCAACTGCTCAGCACTAAGGTCCCCTAAAAGTGTGCAGTGGAAAACCAGGGTACCACTTTTCGCCGTGGTCGTGGTGGCTGTCGAAATCCGTCTCTGAGCCGGATGCATCCAAACGCGTGGCCACTTAGCCTTGCAGGCAGCATGCCGAGGAAGGCGAAGACAGTTGCAAGGATTGCTGAATCGTTGCTGACTGTGGAATGAATGCCAACGATCAGTAGCTCTGGTTTTGGGAAAGCCATCCATCACCTGCGTCCAGGGACGTATAAATAGAGCGTGTCGATGAGTGACAGGTGTAAGGACAGGAGACGCTGTGGCCGCCGTAACGTTCATTGTCAATGTGCATTATGTGTGAAAAACTCGCTACGCGAGACAAAAAGAGAATGTGCCACGCAATTTATGAATTGATCTCTCATTACAATGTGATTCATGTGTGCATTTTTGCCTTCCACCCAGCTACGTCTCTTAAAAGCAGTGGGCAAAAATGTAGCTGGGTGCTTCGTTAGATCAAAGCCTTCCGCATACCGCTTAAAGAGGCGCAGGAGGTTCACGAACGTCGCATGTAAGACCAACAAGAATGACTGGAAGTTACTGAACGCAGCCGGATTATCCTTACGGCTAATGCCTCTGGCATGGCAAACATTATGGTCCATGCACCTGTTCTCAGAAAGCTATGTACTAATGGGTGTGTTTAGTGCGGTCGCATTAGTGAGCTTGAAAAGAAGGCTTAAAAACGCCACAGAATGCTCCTGTAGGATAATCCAAAGATAGCAATGTGGCTAGAAACAACAAAACCTTGAAGGAGATGACTGTCATCAATGACCGAAAATTTCTTAGAATCTTTAGGGGAAAACGAATGTGCACTCTACCTGCGTCAGGTCCCTAGGAGAGCAAAGTCCTAAAGCTTGACATTCAAGCAAAACCGCTGGAAACTGATAGCCACCGTTAAGCCGGGTTGTACCGTTGGCCGGCACACCTGCAAGCTGAGCTCAACACGACCTCCCTCACGAGCGGCGTGACGAAACGAACAGCGGGGGGGGGGGGGGGGGTCCGGCGAGCTTCGTCTCCAGCTGCAGGCTCAAACCGGAACGAAAAAAAGATCGCGGTAACAGCGGCCGTCGGCGGAGCCGCGGTCGTCGGCGAAACGGCGGCCATCGGCGGAATGGCGGCCGTCGGCGGTACCGCCATGTTCGGCGAATGCATCTTAGCTATGGCGGTTGATCATGCTGTGACTAGTGCAGTACGGACACAGTCACTTCGTGACCAGCACTTCATCATGCCTTTTCAAAACACATTTAAAGTCTCGCTGTCTCGGATCAGAGAGGAGGTCCTGGGTCCACAAAGCAGCTCTTGACATCAACAAACTCTGGACAGCAGAAATGCTGCCGCTTCGAGACCAGGTGTTTGGCGCTACGGTATGCGGTATGGTACGGTATGGTAATACTGCCACTTCGAGGCCAGGTGTTTGGCGCTATGGTATGCAGCATGGTACGGTATGAAAACACTGCCGCTTCGAGGCCAGGTGTTTGGCGGCACTGGTATGCGCCAGAGCTCAGTCATAATGCAGGTACTACGCCCACAGACTCACCCCATGCGAGACACATGTGAAGGTCAAAACTATGCAGAGTTACCACAGTGGCAAAACCCCGGTAAACAGAAATGTTCCAAATGGAGGGCATTACGTTGCAGCCTCCTACAGAGTTAACTATGTAACTCGAAAACATTTTTGATGGGCCTAACTTGTTAAGTAATGCTTTGCAGAAAGCTGTGTCAAATCAGGCGACGTCATCCATTCCCTTGCATCCATGACACCTGTCCCACACATCAACTTGTTGGGAGCACACACTCGGTGATCATTGCTGGGAGATGTAAACAATCGTACAGTGGTCTTCAGAGCCCATAATTCCATTTCATGCAACCATCTTCAGAATTCTAAAAACGCAAAGATGTAAATCCGAAATTCCCTTAGTTGTTCTGTCGAGGAATGTCCCCACTGCCAGGCCATTTGCAGGGAATAATGGCATTGTTGTCACATGCGGTGACCGTTAATGGGTCACGCGACGAGAGAGCGGCATGTGAAATCTACAGCACGGCCATGGCGCCGGCGCACAATGCCACAGTACGGTCGGCTGTTCAACCAAGCCCGGTGCCGTGACTCACAGAAGCCGGTGAGTCACGAGCGGGACCGGCTGACAGAGCCCGGGAGTTCACGAGCGAGACCAACCAGCCGACCACCGCCCACACCCCAGGCCAGCATGCCGCCACTCCCGGCCGCTCAGCTGTTTCGGCTGTTTTCATGGCCTTTGGTGATGGCCGCGTCGGCGCAAAAACATAGCAGGTTCAGAAGATAATTGTTCACCATTGTTTGTTTAACCTCCGTGAACATGGTTGCAAGACAGAAGAAAGTGTACATAAGAAAAAATATAATAGCATTCAAACTGAAAGACCAGAAATGCAGTGATTAGCAGATTAGAGCACATCAAAATTCTAAAACCTACCAGTTTGCCAGTTTCCCTCCGTGCACGTAGTTTCAAAACCGAAGATAATAGATAAACATTTGAAATGAAAGACCAGGCATACAGCAATTAGCCGATTAAGCACATCGAAGTTATAAAACCTGACTTCAACATTCTAGGACGCGCTCTATTTACGCGTCAGCACGCTGCCTTTTTCCCAGTTCGCGCGACGCTGGCCGAACGACCCACCTCCATATTTGTGCATCATGAAGGGGACGCGCCAGAGCGTGGCCAGGTCAGTGCCGGCCGCCAGCCGCGACAGCACGGAGCTGAGCCTGCAGACGCCGGGGCCGTCCATCACGTCCTCGTCGCTGCCGTCCGCCTCCGTGCCGTCATCGGAGCAGCCGTCCGACGACTGCCGGCGGGTCAGACGCGGCCGGTGAGGGGAGTCGACGACTGGCCACGGGTCAGACACGGCCGGTGAGGGGAGTCGACGATTGCCGGCGGGTCAGACATGGCCGGTGAGGGGAGTCGACGACTGGCCACGGGTCAGACACGGCCGGTGGGGGGAGTCTACGACTGCCCACAGGTAAGACATGGCCGGTGAGGGGAGTCGACGACTGGCCACGGGTCAGACACGGCCGGTGAGGGGAGTCGACGACTGGCCACTGGTCAGACGCGGCCGGTGGGGGGAGTCGACGACTGGCCACGGGTCAGACACGGCCGGTGAGGGGAGTCGACGACTGCCGGCGGGTCAGACATGGCCGGTGAGGGGAGTCGCCGACTGGCCACGGGTCAGACACGGCCGGTGGGGGAAGTCGACGACTGGCCACGGGTCAGACGCGGCCGGTGAGGGGAGTTGCGCCGGGCTAGGCAGCTGTCGTCCCCTGAAACCGACAATTTCCCCCGGACCGGCAGTTGTCCTTTCCTGGGGCCGGCAGCTGTCGTCCCCTGGGACTGGCTGCTGTCGCACCGTCACTGCACTCCGACTTTACATTCGTTTCTAGCGAGCGGAGACGTCAAGTGACGCACGATTCCAGGACGGCTAATCCTGGCTACATAGCAAACGACCTAATCGGTAACAAATTTCGCTTCTGGTACGTGCATGCATGCTTCAATACAATCTTCCTAAACAGAGCTGTCGCCTCGCTCGTCGGCTAGCAGTGTGACTGCGCCAAACCAGACGAGGATCTGGAAGCAATCAGCGGCTCACCAAACCTCACTCACAGACGGAGTGTTGACACGGGTCAGATGTGCACAGTATTCAACCCTCAATGGCTCTGAGATAATGCCAGGGATGATAAGCAGACACCAGGGGCAAGCATCCTCGATCTGCTCAGAGCAGTACAGGAAGCTTCACTCCCGTAATTGACGGTTTGGTGTCACCGCGGGAGCCACCACGGGCCCTGTCGGCAGTGCGGTGGTTCAGTGGTCGCCGCAGCCTTGTGGGTTCGTGCTCCGTGCTCATTTTCCGCCCGGTTCGACTCAACCGGTGGTTAGTCTGGCCCGCGGCCTTGGCTGTCGCGCTGGCTTCGGTTGCCCCGAGACAAGGAGAATGGAAACCGCGTCATTTACAGAGAAACCCAGCCGTATCCGGGGCACGGTCGTCTAGACGTTCCGGACGGGTCAGTGCACCGTCGTCGCGTCACGAAGCAGCCAAATGCGACAGCACCGCCCGCGCGGGGACTGGGGACCGCGCTAAATGGTGGCTGAGGGAAAGTCCGCCTCGACTTGGCCCCGACAACTGGTCATCTTAAAATGCTGTAAGAAAATTACACTGGGAGTGTTCAATTGATGTCACTCACAGAAGTTCACGTCAGCACCAAGCATAGACATCTTAACGTTTCATATAGGCACGAAGACCAAGAACTGCCGTGCGAGGACTGGCACGACAAAATCTTTAAAGCCCAGCTTTTATGACTTCCACCTGAAAAACGCGAGGGCGGATCGATAAAAAACATATCAGCCTGCGCGGCGGTGTGAAGTGGATCATGTGCGACGCCTCGACAAGCAGGAGCGCTCACCTGGAACACGGACACGCCCTGGATGGTGCTGGCCGGCTTGTCGTCGTCACCACGGAGCACCACCGGCAGACCGTCGGTACCGGTCTCCGGTTCGTCATATATGGGCACCACCAGCCGGCCGGAGAGGCCGTCATCGACGATTTCTACCGCGGAGGGGCGGCGCGGCCAGCTGACCTGGGGCACTGTCAGCTGGCTCGGCGGGTCATCCCTGACCTCGGCGGCGGAGGGGCGGCGCGACCAGCTGACCTGGGGCACTGTCAGCTGGCTCGGCGGGTCATCCCTGACCTCGGCGGCGGAGGGGCGGCGTGACCAGCTGACCTGAGGCACTGTCAGCTGGCTCGATGGGTCATCCCTTGCCTCGGCCGATGACGGTTGAAGCGCGGAGCCCGGCGTGAGGTGCATGTCTCCACGGACCTGTGGCAACCAGTACAACACGTAAACAACGAAGGAGGAATGCATGGTTATCACTATCAACCAGAAAATCACTAGCGATTCTAGTCAGCTGGGGAAGCATTTCATCTGCACGCCAAAAAGCCATCAGTTCAGGTCAGGTAACAAGTCTATGCGATTACGTTTGAAAGACATCAAAAGAGTGAACTCGGCTAATGTTTATTTCCTGTTAATCGGCACGACATGCGCACCACGCTCAATGTCTTGTAAAAAATTATATAACATGCAAAGCTTGCTATCCTGTCAACGGCCTATTGCATGAAGTATTCGCCCTGGCGTGATCTGGGATATCTTGCTGTCACAAATCATCCAAGTTTTACTATTTGTACTGTGCCATGATTACCCCTGGTCACTATCACTATTTTTGTAGGGTTTTGAGCCGCATGCGTTTGGCCTCAATACGCGCCTCGCCACCGGCGGGGCTTGGCTTCATCAGCTGGGCTAGCCAATCCCTTCCGGCTCCACGCTATGCACCACACCGACGTCACACTACCAATGCGCGTGCTATCACCGGGACGTGAGGGTGGCTTCCGGACGTGTTTCAGCCCATTCAGTCCACCGTTCAGCAAGCCGTTCATTTCGTTCAGCTCGGTCGTAAACGAGTACAGCCATTCAGCGTTGCGAAGCCCGCTACTGTGGCCTCGGCGAAGCGGCCACTTTGGCCGCAGGTGCCGGCAGGGTCAGCGGGCGCGTTACAGCTCATGGGAACACCGGCATGGTCCATTGTCCCGAACTTACGGCTTCTTTGTTCCCTATGACTATATGTAAATCCGCGAAAGTACTGATGTGTCACGAATGGTAGAGTAATGTGTAAGCCGCGCGTGGGTCGATGACTACGGACTGCTGTTCAGTAAAGCGCTGTTACTCGCTCACATCCGTCTTATCACAGCGAAACTGTATTCTCCCAGAGAAAACGGAGGCGACTCGCGCTAAGTGCCTCAGAGGAAGTTTCACGTCAATCGCGCCTTGCTGTGACTGTGTCACATCAAACGGTGTACAAAAGAAAGGGTTCGCTCTGCCGCTGAAAGAAGCTGAAAAGACATTGCAAATTGCTTGGTGTGCAATGCCGGCAGCAGCACTCTGAAACACCGCAGAGTTAGATGGACTTGTCCTTGGGCCCATAGTCTGTAACGTAGCTCAAGCACATATCAATGTGAAATGCGCTTGGCTTCTTAAAAAGTGCATTCCCTTTTTCCACTAGCTCCTGTACGAGGAGTACATCCCTTTACTCAAAATGCGATTTCGTGAAAATCCGGCTCAATTCTAGATTGGCCTCCGGCATCATGCTTGCGGTGCTTCCAAATCCTGTTGTGGCCTGTCCACGGGCTCGATGTGCTCTGAGCAACTCCTGCAGGTGCCGCCGGCCTCAGCTCGATCGCATGCAAACTTGTACTGAACGGCTCCGGCCAACGACGTAATAAGAACAGATGAGCCTCTGCACATCCAGAGGTCACATTCCGCCTGACAGCTTCAGCCTGACAGCCTGACTTCCAGGTCAGCCGGCATCCGTGACAGGCGTGGGCCTGCGTCCGAAGCCCTGGGTCCGAGCCCAGGCACTGGGCTCAGGAGTCCAGGGTCGTGGCTCGAGTCCATGCTTTCCACATTGCATGAGCCAAGTTTGAGTTCCGGCTCTTCGAGTGTCGAGTCCGTCAAGTCGAGGCGCATGAGTACCAGCCCGAGTTTGATTCTAAGGTCTTGGGTGAAAGTCTGAGTTCGAGTCTATGACTCCCTCAGCATTTTCCATTCCTATTTTCAAAGTTTTTTTGTAATTGAAATGCAATGGCCGCGCGGCACTGTCAGGCGTCGACCCATTTCATGTGTGGGTTGCGTCTATTGCATAAAGTGACGGCATTATCCCAAAATGTAACGTTGTCTTGGAGCTAAACTTTATCTAAGGGAGACCAGATTCCGCCATATTTATTTTTAGTCGACAATTATTTACACGCTCGTTTTCATGATAGATAATCTCTTTCAGTTCTATCCTTTTGGGTGGATATTTGTGTACTTGAGCACAACTAAGTCGCCCGGTCGGCTTCATCATTAGTGTGGACATGATGACACATAGCAGAGTACATTTTGCGCGACAATGTATTCTGTCAGGTCAGGGTAAGCTGTCACACATACTTGTCAGCCGTCAAAGGCTATCGTAAAGTATCGCAATACATGATATGTTACTCATTTTGAAGTGATATTTTCATTACAACTGTTGGAGATGGCGAAGTATCAGATGATCATAACTGAACAACAGGAGAACGATGTGTCCAATCCCTAGTTGCTTGCTTGCCACAGGAAGATCACTGCTCGCCACAGGACGCATAGGATGTCACGCGCAATGGCAACAAACCACAACACGATTTGTGGCAGCGCACTTCGACGGCACTTTTTCGATTACACGCACGATGGTCAAGCACGCCGCTAATCCTGACCCTTCCGCCTACACCACAGAACTAAATTTTTCAGCGTATTCGCATTCAGTCACATCAACACAGTAACGCATCTGGCTGGGCAATCATGCTACAAAATATGTTAAAAACGGAAGCAGCAGAGGATCAGATGGCAGGTAAACCCTGTGGTATAACTCCTAAAAGCATGGCGCATGGCCTGGTGCCTTCACTTCCCCGCACGCGAGACGTAATCTATTCACAGGTTCATCGGTCAAAGGTCTTCTGGTTTGCATAGTCTTCGTGTTTTTCTGGCATCCCGTGATTGAGGTGGGAGCTTTGAGGCAGGCGTCCCACGTGGCGACTAGCCCCGCTTACTTTGACCTTATTCCGAGCTGAGCAGTGATCATTTCGATCTCAGTCCAAGTCCCATGCTTTCAGAAGTTTGATGAACGCTCGATTCACATTTGATTTTTCACCCGAGCTCGCACTGTTCTTCAAACCTGCGCCAGTGTGATCCTGACTTATCCGTGAGATAATTATCTGCCTGCGCCAGAGTCTCGGACTTCAGGGGTACACGACCACTTCAAAGCCCGGCTGGCCTGAGGCCGACACCTGCTGCTGTGGGGTTCTGACGGCGTCTCGAGGGCGCTGCCAGCCCGCACGGTGTCGCTCAGACGGCGCTCCACGTCACCAGCAACTCCTGACGGCCAGAGCTTATTTGACGTGCACATCCAGCCCCGCCGTGTGTGCACGCTTGTGCACAATGAAACGCCGTCTGGCGAATGCCGACGGTCCTGAGCCGCAGCGGCACTGATTGCTCGGGAGGCTGCAACACAGGCCGGATAATCAGCAGCCTGCACAGCCTGCAAAAGACGTGGCTCCGCAAGTCGCCTCCGGAGGAACGGCGATAAACAATTATTTCGTTGATGAATATTTTCTCGAGATACATTAGCATGGGTTAAATGTCGATTAAACTGCACGCTAAATCAGCGTTTACATACTGGAATTATAGTGTGGTTATACCCAGCCTGTTTCAGTGCAGTTTTGCACCAAAAGGCGATGCAATCCAATAAGAAAGTTGGCTGGCCTTGCGGGGCGACCAATGATGTAGGCATCCAATGCTAGAAAATCTGACCTCTCGGCTCCAATTTGCAGAAAAATGGCGCGGCCTATCTCATTGCCAGTCCTCAAGGAAGCCCTAACGGTTTTCACGCTTTCAGTCATTACCACCTGCGCAATATACACACGTGCGGTGAATACACCTTGACCCTTTTCACCTATGCGGGGCATGGCGTCAGCAAGGGCAGCTGAACCCGTTTGGGCCCCCGTCCTTTACTGCTCAGCTCTAAAGGGCCGAACCTTTCGCGCCGGCAGCAAAACCGGCTATCGTCCAACGGCGCTTTCCTCCTCTGTCAACATTGGCCTTATTTGACGCGGGGAGTTGCAAACAATGGTCCCACTCGGCACGCCATGCAGACGACGGGTCCGATCTAGTGATGGCCAATTCCTGAGATGCGGAGGGGCAGGCGCGACTTTTACCTGGTGTTTTTCTGTGCTGCACCATGGCCATAGGGTTAATGTTCAGCTTTTTTCCGCAGAGGGGCGGTTGCCGCCACTGCCCACTCCCACGCTTGCCCATTGCTGGCCGGATCGGCCGGTTTTTCAATCGTGGAAATAATTTCTGGCACGCGAGCGTAGCCCGGGACCCGCTTTACCTAGTCACGCCATGAGGGGCCCTGTCATCACCGCGAGCCACTCCAGCACTGACTGCGGCGAACCGTGGCACCTGCACCGGCTACTGTGTCCTGATCTGCGTCAGCTACTGTCCTGATCTGCGTCAGTCACTATCCTGATCTGCGTCAGTTTCTGTGTCCTGGTCTGCAGTCATCTGCTGTGTCCTGATCTGCGTCAGCTGCTGTGCCCTGATCTGCGTCGGCTGCTGTGTCCCTGATCTGCGTCGGCTGCTGTGCCCTGATCTGCGTCAGCTGCTGCGTCCTGATCTGCGTCAGCTGCTGTGTCTTGATCTGCGTCAGCTGCTGTGTCCTGATCTGCGTCAGCTGCTGCGTCCTGATCTGCGTCGGCTGCTGTGCCCTGATCTGCGTCAGCTGCTGCGTCCTGATCTGCGTCAGGCTGCTGTGTCCTGATCTGCGTCAGCTGCTGTGCCCTGATCTGCGTCGGCTGCTGTGTCCTGATCTGCGTCGGCTGCTGTGCCCTGATCTGCGTCAGCTGCTGCGTCCTGATCTGCGTCAGCTGCTGCGTCCTGATCTGCGTCAGCTGCTGTGTCCTGATCTGCGTCAGCTGCTGCGTCCTGATCTGCGTCAGCTGCTGTGTCCTGATCCGCGTCGGCTGCTGTGCCCTGATCTGCGTCCTGATCTGCGTCGGCTGCTGTGTCGCACTGCGACAACAGACGCGTGCTGAAAACTCTGACAAACACTGCGTGCGTGAGCCGTCGCCTCAGGCGGACTCGAGGCTGCAGCGCTTGGGTGGCCAACGGTGTAAGGGTGCCACACCTCCAGAGGGAGCACTAAAAACTGACCTTGGCAGGCAATGAGCCGATTAGCAGATCGGTG